GGATGGAAAAGATTAAAGTGTAATCTTGACATTACCTTTATTTGTTTCCTCTGTTTGAAGAGAAATGGTCCACTCATCTCCACCTAAGGTAGTTTCAGTATCTGCCAAAGGAAAACAAAAAGTCTTACTTTTCTATGGCTAGCCTCTTATGTCTAGGTATAGTAAATGTGTGAGGGCAAGTGTGTGCTTATACAAAGGAATATTAGAGAGAAAGGAAAATGGCTCTGGAAGTTATTCCAAGTAGGTAATAACAGATCCTATATTTCTGCTCTAACAGGTCCCATTTCATATCAATCATTTATTCCTTCTAGTACAGGAGAAGAATCTCCAAACTTTCATCCTTATAACCCATCAAACATAAGACTGACAATGATGGTCACTAAGTGTAACTGATCTACAAAGTGAGCCAAAGTCAGACTTGTATGACCAGTACAATGACGGGCTATTAAAGTAAACCTGAGCTCAGATCATTCACACTAAATTATTTACATGCTCTGAACAAGCAGAAAGATCACTTTAAAACAAGCCCTCATTCATCTGTCTAAAAACATTGCGAAAAAATTAGTTTTTAAATATCACAACACAGGCATTGAAATCATAACTCTCTATATTACAATTACGGAAATTTCCCCTCTCAGCTGATAATTGTCAGGGCACTTCCAACAGGAAGTATTAACTGTAGAGGATTGAATGAAAATAAAGGTCACTGTATGTGTAACCAAAATATGGGTGTATATGGACAGCCAACTGACACAAGTGGTCCACACCCAGGGGCGGACTGACAACTCATGGGGCCCCTGGGCAAAAGGGGATCATTGTGGCCCTGTGTCCTCACCCACACCCAAAAAAGCCTATGAAAAGGTACCAGGGGCATCTCATGGGGCCCCCTACTGACCCCGGGCAGTGCCTGAGTTCCCAAATGGTCAGTCCACCCCTGTCCACACCCAAAGACATAAAATTTAAAAAAAAACAAACCAAGTGTGGAGCTATCCAAAAATCTCTCAGATAAAGTGTAAACAGCATAAATAACTAAGAACGTGTGATCAATAAAACACTCTCCTTTTAACTGTGGCAGCCCAATTCTTCCCAAAGTGTAAATAATCAGCCCTGAACATTTATGAGTTTAAGACAGACATTAGACAACAGTTGATTATTTGGATGGAAAAGAGATTAAAGTGTAATCTTGACATTACTTTCATTTGTTTCCTCTGTTTGAAGAGAAATGGTCCACTCATCTCCAAAGGTAGTTGTGTCAGTATCTGCCAAAGGAAAACAAGAAGTCTCACTTTTCTATGGCTAGCCTCTTATGTCAGTAGGTATATTAAATGTGTGAGGGCAAGTGTGTGCTTATACAAAGGAATATTAAAGAGAAAGGAAAACAGTTCTGGAAGTTACTCCAAGTAGGTAATAACAGATCCTATATTTCTGACCCAACAGGTCCCATTTCATATCAATCATTTATTCCTTCTACTACAGGAGAAGAATCTCCAAACTTTCATCCTTATAACCCATCAAACATAAGACTGACAATGATGGCCACTAAGTGTAACTGATCTACAAAGTGAGCCAAAGTCAGACTTATATGACCAGTACAATGACGGGCTATTAAAGTAAACCTGAGCTCAGATCATTCACACTAAAGTATTTACATGCTCTGAACAAGCAGAAAGATCACTTTTAAACAAGCCCCCATTCATCTGTGTCTATAAACATTGCGGGAAAAATTAGTTTAAATTTCACAACATAGGCATTGAAATTATAACACTTTCTATATCACAATTATGGAAATTTCCCCTCAGCTGTGAAATTGTCAGGGCACTTCCAGCAGGAACTATTGACTGTAGAGGATTGAATGAAAATACAGGTCACTGTATGCGTAACCAAAATATGGGTGTATATGGACAGCCAACTGACACAAGTGGTCCACACCCAAATATATAAACTAAAAAACAAAGCAAGTGCAGAGCTATCCAAAAATCTCTCAATAAAGTGTTAAGAGCATAATTAGTAACTAAGAACATGTGATCAATAAAACCCTCTCCTTTGAACTGTGGCAGCCTAATTCTTCCCAAAGTGTAAATAATCATCCCTGAACATTTATGAGTTTAAGGCAGACATTAGACAACAGTTGATTATTTGGATGGAAAAGAGATTAAAGTGTAATCTTGACATTACCTTTATTTGTATCCTCGTTTGATGAGAAATGGTCCACTCATCTCCACCGAAGGTAGTTGTGTCAGTATCTGCCAAAGGAAAACAAAAAGTCTCACTTTTCTATGGCTAGCCTTTCTCTTATGTCTGTAGGTATATTTAATGTATGAGGGCAAGTGTGTGATTATACAAAAAGGAATATTAGAGAGAAAGGAAAAGAGCTCTGGGACTCGCTATCCTGGAAATGGGCTTTCCTCTTGAGACCGGACAGGCAAGGCCTGAACTTCACCCTCTGGAACAGATGCTGTATAGCACCTCTCCTCCACCACATCTGACTACATTGAATTGTTAGTTATTTCCTTAGCAGCGTTCTCCCGCCAGGGTGTCAGTAATGTTGGCATTCTGCTCAATACAAGTTCCAAGGTTTACTGCAACAGGACTCTGAGTATTTACTGCCCCCACCTTGCCACAAGATCATGCACACTAAAGTATCTAGATACTCTGAACAAGCAGTAAGATCGCGTTAAAACAAACCCTCATTCATCTGTGAGTATTAACATTGTGGAAAAATTGCTGAAAGTTCCCATCTCAGCTGTTAAGTTGTCAGGGCACTTCCAGAAAAAAGTATTGACTGTAGCAGATTGGTTGAAAATACAGGTTACAAATATAGAAGGTTACTGTACGGACAACCAAAATGTATGAGTGTATATGGACAGCCAGCTGACACAAGTAGTTCACATCTAAAAATATAAATTGAACAAAGCAAGTGCAGGGCTATCTCTCAATAAATGAAGTGTAAATAGCAAAAATTTATATATGTGGCATCTGAATACAAACTTGTGATTGCAACGGGAACACCACAAAAGGTTGTGCCGTAAAAAAAAAAAAAAAACCACACACACACACACACACACACACACACACACACACACACAATGTGAAAAGAAAACACAGTGCAAAACAAAATAAAGCCAAAGTCCCAAATCATACATTCCGTAGATTTTCATTATATTTTTATGTGATCTGGGAATTTGGTTTTAGTGTTATTTTTCAATTGCACTGTATGTGCAGCCAGCGTGATGTCACAGCTCCTCTGATGCGTTTTGTGCTATGGCACATAATCATAAGCAGGCACACCCCCTATGATTAAGTGCAATAGCACGAAATGCTTCAGGGAGGAGCTGCAATGTCATGACGTCATGCCGCAGGAACTACGTATAGGCCCGGTGGCCATCTTGGAAATTCTCATATGATGCTGTATAATGAGAACGGCAGAGGTATTGCTGACTGCAGATGAACCAGAGAGGGAACGCCAGACCAGGCTGCACAGAGCCTTAAAGGGACCTCCAGCTGACTACTGAGCGTTTATATCTCTAAATGCGCAATTTAATTGCGCATCTGGTGAGTGCAATTCTTACATTACTTTATTATCTAACCAACGATCGTTGGTTAGATGTGACATCGATCACCAGTGTTTGAGATCATAACTGGATCTTCCATTTATCACTTTTTGGACATAGGTTTGTCACTATTACTTTTCAGCACCAGTGGTCACTTTTTAGTGACAATATATAGTGTCATCACTTGATCACTTTATGGACATGTTATAAATATAATACCACTCTTTGCACACCTTCAGTCACTTTGAATTTAATTTGATACGGATTTATTTATATGTATTATTGCATTGGCGCTTTTCATATTTATTTGAAATTATCATGTGTGATATTCATATTTAAACGCTGCATTCCTTATTTTATATTTAAACGCTGCATCCTTATTTATATTATTACTTTGGAAGGTTTTTTGGTACCTTTTTGATGTTTCAGCAGCTAGCCATTTTAGTGCTCACTTACCTCCCTGTGTTTTCTATTATGCATTATTAGCACTGATCACTGTATTAGTGTCAGATTGCCCTCCGAACTTCCACAGTCCCACTGGAAATAAAATTCCATTGTTTGTAGACACTACAGCTTTCATACAAGCCAATTAATCTATGCTTATTGGGATTTTGTTTTTTTAACCAAAGACATGTAGCAGAATACATTTAGACCTAAATATGAAGAACTTTGATTTTTTTTTTTTTTATTAATTTTTATTGGATTTGTTTTATAACAGAAAGTAAAAAATATTTTTCTTCAAAATATATTGAAAAAAAACAAAAACCCAGTGGTGAGCAAATACCACCAAAAGAAAGCTCTATTTATGTGAAAAAAAATTATACAAATTTAATTTGGGTACAGTGTTGCATGACCATGCAATTACCAGATAGAATAGCTCAGTGCTGAATAGCAAAAAAATAAAACAAAATGGCCTGGTCATGAAGGGGGTAAAACTTTCCAGAGTTTGTGGTTAAGTCTGATGACCATCAGTATGTTTTTGGGAAAAGTCAAGGCTAACAGAAGGAAAACATACTTTCTGAAGCTCAGGAACCCAGTGCTGTAAGTGAAAACCACATTCAGCCCTACTCAGGTAATACTTTGAATACATTTTCCATATTATTACCAGTATATTTACATCCAGAAAAAAGTTTTACATATAAATGCCTAAATTCAGTAAAAGTATTAATGATATAATGTTGTACTTACCAAAGCTGTCATCTGGTTGGACAGTCTATAGGAAAATAATATACATTAATACAGACATGGCAATGACAAATTTGTCTAATTGTACAATTTACTCTTCCTTTTCCCACTCTACACTAAATAAAGGAAACTGGCTGGGTTCAGTTGTACTGAAAACCACAAAGATGCAGCAAGCAGAGATATATCACACCCAACCCACAATGCACCTAACATGAAGATGGGAAAAAAACCTAATTATGTCCACCAGGGGCGGACTGACAACTCATGGGGCCCCCGGGCAATAGGGGATCATGGTGCCCCTGTGTCCTCACCCACACTCAAACCACGCCCAAAAAAGCCTATGAAAGTTACCAGGGGCATCTCATGTGGCCCCTTACTGACCCTGGGCCCTCAAGGCAGTGCCAGAATTTCCGAATGGTCAGTCCGCCCCTGCTGTCCACACATGCACCAATATGATCATTAAAACAATCATGCAAACAAAAGACCCTTTATGCAATCTAGTGAGCTCTTGATTGATTTTGATTCTGCAAAGTCGATCACATGTGATGTATTTTGATCTAAAGTAAACAAATATCTGAATGAGAGCAAATTAAGAAGCTCACCCAAACATTAGTTACATAGTTAGTCTGTCTGAAAAAAGACAAGTCCATCCAGTTCAACCATAGAAAGAAAAAAAAAAAAAAAAAAAAAAAGTTATAATCCTATACCCACAGTTGATCCAGAGGAAGGCAAAAAAAAAAAAAAAAAAACCCAGCAAAGCATGATCCAATTTGCTCCTGCAGGGAAAAAAAATTCCTTTGTGATCCCCCCGAGAGGCAATCAGATATTCCCTGGATCAACTTTACCTATAAATGTTATATCCAGTTATATTCTGTGTATCTAACAATACAGGACTTTTGAAGCAATTCACGGAGCTGGCCAGAACCAACTCTTGAGGGAGTTCATTCCACAGCTCTCACTGTGAAGAAACCTTTCCATGTTTGGAGATTAAGTTTCTTTTCCTCCAGATGTAAAGAGTGCCCCCTTGTCCTCTGATGACCTCAGGGTGAATAGCTCTACACCGAGTTCACTAGATGGACCACTGATGTATTTATACATGGAGATCATATCCCCCCTTATGTATTATACATGGAGATCATATCCCCCCCCCCCCTTATGTATTATACATGGAGATCATATCCCCCCCCCCCCTTATGTATTATACATGGTGATCATATCCCTCCCTTATGTATTATACATGGAGATCATATCCCCCCCCCCCCCCCTTATGTATTATACATGGAGATCATATCCCCCCCCCCTTATGTATTATACATGGTGATCCCCCCCCCCTTATGTATTATACATGGTGATCATATCCCCCCCCCTTAGTATTATACATGGAGATCATATCCCCCCCCCTTATGTATTATACATGGAGATATCCCCCCCCCCCCTTATGTATTATACATGGAGATCATATCCCCCCCCCCCTTATGTATTATACATGGAGATCATATCCCCCCCCCCCCCCCCTTATGTATTATACATGGCGATCATATCCCCCCCCCCCTTATGTATTATACATGGCGATCATATCCCCCCCCCCCTTATGTATTATACATGGAGATCATATCCCCCCCCCTTATGTATTATACGATCATATCCCCCCCCCCTTATGTATTATACATGGCGATCATATTCCCCCCCCCCTTATGTATTATACATGGAGATCATATTCCATCCCCCCCCCCCTTATGTATTATACATGGAGATCATATCCCCCCCCCCTTATGTATTATACATGGCGATCATATCCCCCCCCCCTTATGTATTATACATGGAGATCATATCCCCCCCCCCCCCCTTATGTATTATACATGGAGATCATATCCCCCCCCCCCCCCCCCCCCCCCTTATGTATTATACATGGCGATCATATCCCCCCCCCCCCCTTATGTATTATACATGGAGATCATATCCCCCCCCCTTATGTATTATACATGGAGATCATATCCCCCCCCTTATGTATTATACATGGAGATCATATCCCCCCCCCTTATGTATTATACATGGAGATCATATCCCCCCCCCTTATGTATTATACATGGAGATCATATCCCCCCCCTTATGTATTATACATGGAGATCATATCCCCCCCCCCCTTATGTATTATACATGGAGATCATATCCCCCCCCCCCTTATGTATTATACATGGAGATCATATCCCCCCCCCCTTATGTATTATACATGGAGATCATCCCCCCCCCCTTATGTATTATACATGGAGATCATATCCCCCCCCCCTTATGTATTATACATGGAGATCATATCCCCCCCTTATGTATTATACATGGAGATCATATCCCCCCTTATGTATTATACATGGAGATCATATCCCCCCTTATGTATTATACATGGAGATCATATCCCCCCTTATGTATTATACATGTATTATACATGGAGATCATATCCCCCCTTATGCATTATACATGGAGATCATATCCCCCCTTATGTATTATACATGGAGATCATATCCCCCCTTATGTATTATACATGGAGATCATATCCCCCCTTATGTATTATACATGGTGATCATATCCCCCCTTAATCTCCTCTTCTCAGAGAACTATTTCAGTTCCTCTAATCTCTCCTCATAGCTGAGCTCCTCCATTCCTCTTATCAGTTTAGTTGCCCTTCTCTGTACTTTCTCCAGTTCCCCAATGTTCTTTTTGTGAATTGGTGCCCAAAACTGAACTGCATATTCAAGATGAGGTCTTACTAATGATTTGTACCGGGGGGAATATGATATCTCTCTGGAGTCTATACCTCCTTTAATACAAGATTTTACTCGCTTTAGAAACTGCAGCTTGGCATTGCATGCCATTATTAAGCTTGTGATCTACCAGAACCCCCAGATCCTTCACCATTGATTACTCCAGTTGTTACTCCCCCCCCCCCCCAGTATATATGATGCATGCATATTCTTAGCCCCCAAGTGCATAACCTTACATTTATCAACATTAAACCCAATTTGCCACATAATTGCCCAATTAAACAGTGCATTGAGGTCGGCTTGTAAATTGAAGACATCCTGTAAGGACCTTATTCCACCGCACAGCTTGGTGTCATCTGCAAAGACTGAAATGGGATTTTTAATCTCAGACCCTATATGGTTTATAAATATATTAATAAGTAAGGGTCCCAGCACTGAACCCTGGGGTACATCACTGATGACCCAAGACCATTCAGAGTATGAATCATTAACCACTACTCTTTGAATACGATCTTTTAGCCAGTTTTCTATCCATTTACATACAGATTTTTTCCAAGTCTGTAGACTTTACCTTACACATTAGCCGTGTGTGGGGAACTGTGTCAAACGCTTTTGCAAAATCCAAGTATACCACGTCCACCGCCACCCCTCTGTCCAAGGCTTTACTCACCCCCTCAAAAAGAAATCAGACTTGTTTGACAACTTCTGCCTTTCATGAATCCATGCGGTTTGTGGCTTCATGTTTTTTTCCCAGCAAGAACTCATCTATGTGGTCTTTTATTAAACTCTCCAGTATCTCCCCAACTATAGAAGTTAAACTAACAGGTCTATATAACTACTTGGTAAAGATTGACCCCTTTTTAAATATTGGCACCACATTGGCCTTACGCCAATTTAACAGTGCTATGCCAGTAATTAAAGAGTCCCTAAAAATTAGAAATAGCTTTGAAATGACAGAGCTCAATTCTTTAAGGACCCGTGGGTGTATGCCATCCGGTCCAGGTGCTTTATTCACCTTTATACAGTCTAAATATTTTTTGGAGCATATCAGTTGCGAGCCAATGTGGATCAGCTGGAGCTGTGCCAATACCATGCCCATTATGGACAAGAGCTCCCCCGTGCTCCTTCGTATACACAGAGCTGAAGAAGGTATTAAAATACATTTGCCTTCTTTGTCCCCAGTGACCCACTCTAGATTATTTTGTAAAGGGCCTACATGCTCGGACCGAACCTCTTTATTAATATATTTGAAGAATTTTTTGGGGTTGGTCCTGCTTTCTTTTGCAATCTGTCGCTCATTTGCAATTCTTGCGGCCTTTAGTTCCTTTTTGCATATTCTGTTATATTTTTTGTAATGTTTAAATGATAGCGTTCCTTCATTTTTATATTCAATAACATCCCTTTTCTTATCTATAGCTTTTTAAACTTTGGCCATAAGACACATAGGTTTTATTTTTAGCCCTTTAAACTTGCTGCCCATGGGAATATATTTTGCAGTGTGTTCACATACAGTCTGAAGAACTTCCATTTCTGTGTTGTGTTCATCTATGCCAATATTCCCTCCCCCCTCCCAGTCTAAGTGTTGGAGAGTAGCTCTCAGCCTTGGAAAATTAGCGGTCTTGAAATTCAGAGTTTTTATTTTTCCCCATAGGTGCTTGCTGTTTACAGCTAACAATAAATTAAATCATGTTATGGTCACTTCTACCCAGATGTTCTTTTATATGGACATTCGTAATAAGCTCTGCATGGTTTGAGATTACAAGGTCCATCAGAGCATCATTCTTAGTTGTGGCCACTATGAACTGTACCATAAAACTGTCCTGTCGTAGGTTTAAAAATGTTTGCCTTTTAACTGTTCCTGCAGTACCATTACTCCAGTCAGTTTCCAGGTAGTTAAAATCCCCCATTATTATAACTGTCCCAGCCCTTTCGATCTGTGCAAGGAGCAGAGTTTCCATCTCCTCTAACACTGGGAGGCCTATAACAAACTCCAATGATTACCTTTATAGTATGCACCCCCATGTGCAATTCCACTCATAATACTTCAGACTCACACTCTCCATCAACTAGGTCCTCTTTCACACTCGCTCTGAGATCACTTCTCACAGACACCACCACCTTTCCTATTTACGCTCTCTCCGAAAGAGAACATAGCCAGGAATATTAATGGCCCAGTCATGCAAAGAATGAAGCCAAGATTCAGCAATACCAATTAAATAATAGTTCTGTTCATGCACCAAAGCTCCCAACCCTTGTTCACATGTATTTTGCATATTTTTTTATTTTCATACAAATGGTACCAATTCCACTGGTTGTTTGTAACATGGGAACCTTATCTGGCATAGCCTGCTTCCCCCCCCCATTCCATCCACCAATAAGTAATGACCCCGTCTGATCTCCCTCCCCCCCTTGATTCTAGTTTAAATACTCCTCCAGCTTTCCCATAAGCCTTTCCCCCAGCACAGCAGACCCCCTTCCATTTATTAGGTGCAGACCATCTCTAGCATATAGGTTGCACCCCAATGAAAAGTTGGCCCAGTGCTCTAGAAACCCAAATCCTTCCCTCTTACACCAGGTCTTCAGCCATGTATGGAGTTCTCCAATCTTCCAGTCTTTCCTGAGTTGCGCATGGCACAGGTAATATCACCTTGGAGGGCCTTCCCTTCAACTTGCAGCCTAGTTCTTTAAATTGAGTCTTAAGGAGCCTCCACCTTCCATGTATTCGGTCATTGGTTCCAACATGA